TGGAGTAAGCTTGCGTCTCAGGAACAAACCAGTGGCTTCTGACATCCAGAAGAGAGGTGAAGCCAGCCGGGTTGAGCCAGATTTGTGTCAGAAGACCTAAGTGGACAGACACGGGCCTCTATGAATGTGCCAAAGTTAAAGAAGGGTTAGAGAATGACTGGATTTGTGAGGATTGTAAAAAAAAACGAGAAGCCAGAAAGAAAACACTGTTGTTGATGATTTTAGCACAAGTGTGCACCTTACCAAATACATTCATGTTATTGATACCCGAGACTGTTTGCATACACAAAATAAAAGCCTTTAATGCATCCTTGGCTGTTTAATATTTTATCAAAGTACTTGGTGTAATTTTGGAACTACGTTAGTTAATGCAGCACACTAACGATGTCATCTAACCTGTGAACGTGGGATCACAGTAGAGAGTCTTGAAAGTTTTCCATCATTACGCTCTGTGCGTGTTTCAACACTGGACAGGCGCCGTGATGTTACTTCCTGTGCAGGCAGCTGCCATTTTCCTTTGGTAGAGGGAGGGATCCTCGGAGTAGCACCACGCAGGGCCAGCTCACCTCTGATGGAAAGCCACCATCTGCTAGTATCTCATCGTTAACCTGTAGAAGGTCATAAAGTCCAGACTCAGCTGTGAGGAGTTGATCTGAGACACGTCCACCCTGCCTGCAGACAGGAATGTAATTACTCCTGAAGGTGACGTGGCGACCAAGTATTTAACTGTGTTATGGCTCTTGTGACAAGGTTGTGCCCCGGCGGTTGAACCTGTGGGTCTGTAGGCAGTAAAGCACCTGCAACGCTGGTGTTTTGGTTTGAAACATTTGGCGTATTCTTTAATACGGATTACTTACTTGGCCACTTGATTAGAGGTTTCAAAGTCTGACACATGACGGGGAGACAACTTCTCAAAATGTTAGAGATGTCACATCCTTATTGGTGAGCCCCAACCAGTTTCACGAGGACGGCCAACAGATGGTCCTCCAGGGTCAGAGATCTACGCTCAACCTCCACACGGTCTTTAACCGTCTGCAGGACCCAGTTAACGAGGGCACCAGTCAGACCAGTGGAAAACATCCTCTGGGCGGCTTCACACTGGAGGAATGCAAAGGAGAACTGTGGAGCCCTGACCAGCGCTCTTAATTCTTCATTCTCAGCTTTCAGTTTGTTGTTGTCCAGGCGCAGGTTGTCACACTCGGTTTGAAGTTGGCTACTTCTGTTAAGGCCATTGTGGTCAGCCTTTGGCACCATAGCTTCTGAAGAATGAAGGAGACAAAGTCAACCGTCACCTCGTCTGGGTGATCATTAAGAATTTAACAGCTGAGGAACTTAGTGATGTTAACAACAAATATACCAACATGGTACCAACCAGACTAAAGCCTTCGTCATCATAAGTTACTACATCTAGAAACACGTTGGGAGGTCACGCCATTGGCCGAGTTTACCCATATTAACATCAGGTTTAGAGAGCGTGCTGATCGGGTTAGGTAAAGGATCTGACCAGCCTCCATTCCACCATCGTTAAAAAAGAGGGAAGTGGGTGTAGATCCATGTTCTGTACATCTGCTGGTGGTTTCATCCCCTTCGTCTTTTTCTTTTCTATCTGAACACAGAAGAGAGCAAACATTTAGTAAAAAAAAGCTGTTTAGGTGGTTAACGACAGTTTTATTAAATCCTCATTTCAACTCAAAATACGCATTCAAACATCCCAACTCTCTAATCTGAGCTGTCTATGTAGCGTGTCTATGTAGCATGTCTACGTAGCATGTCTGCGTAGCATGTCTGCGTAGCATGTCTACGTAGCATGTCTGTGTAGCATGCCTATGTAGCATGTATACGTAGCATGTCTGTGTAACATGTCTGTGTAGCATGCCTATGTAGCATGTCTATGTAGCATGTCTGTGTAGCATGCCTGTGTAGCATGTCTATGTAGCATGCCTATGTAGCATGTCTATGTAGCATGTCTATGTAGCATGTCTATGTAGCATGTCTGTGTAACATGTCTGTGTAGCATGTCTGTTTAGCATGTCTATGTAGCATGCCTATGTAGCATGTCTACGTAGCATGTCTGCGTAGCATGTCTGTGTAGCATGCCTGTGTAGCATGTCTATGTAGCATGCCTATGTAGCATGTCTATGTAGCATGTCTATGTAGCATGTCTATGTAGCATGTCTGTGTAACATGTCTGTGTAGCATGTCTGTTTAGCATGTCTATGTAGCTTACCTATGTAGCATGTATACGTAGCATGTCTGTGTAGCATGTCTATGTAGCATGCCTATGTAGCATGTATACGTAGCATGTCTATGTAGCATGTCTATGTAGCATGTCTGTGTAGCATGTCTGTTTAGCATGTCTATGTAGCATGCCTATATAGCATGTATACGTAGCATGTCTGTGTAGCATGTCTATGTAGCATGCCTATGTAGCATGTATACGTAGCATGTCTGTGTAGCATGTCTGTGTAGCATGTTTGTGTAGCATGCCTATGTAGCATGTATACCTAGCATGTCTATGTAGCATGCCTATGTAGCATGTCTGTGTAGCATGTCTGTGTAGCATGTCTGTGTAGCATGTCTGTGTAGCATGTCTGTGTAGCATGTATACGTAGCATGTCTGTGTAGCATGTCTGTGTAGCATGTTTGTGTAGCATGCCTATGTAGCATGTATACCTAGCATGTCTATGTAGCATGCCTATGTAGCATGTCTGTGTAGCATGTCTGTGTAGCATGTCTGTGTAGCATGTCTATTTAGCATGTCTATGTAGCATGCCTATGTAGCATGCCTATGTAGCATGTCTGTGTAGCATGTCTGTGTAGCATGTCTGTGTCGCATGTCTATGTAGCATGTCTATGTAGCATGTCTATGTAGCATGTCTATGTAGCATGTCTACGTAGCATGTCTGTTTAGCATGTCTATGTAGCATGCCTATGTAGCATGCCTATGTAGCATGTCTATGTAGCATGTCTGTGTAGCATGTCTGTGTAGCATGTCTATGTAGCATGTCTATGTAGCATGTCCTCATATTAACCGATCTAGTTTTGCCTTGTTGTCTTTTCCAGCCGGGGTTGAATAGCTGAAGATGGACGGGACAAAGTCGTCAGAAGCCTCTTCTGCACAAATAAAGAGCATTTTCCTCATTTACATTCATGATAGCACAGTTCATGGTAGCCACAGGTCGGCTAGTGGGCCTAGCTAATAGCGTTCGTTTCTACAGGTTTAGCAACAGTTGAGCTAAAGTTTAACAAGGCTCTTTAAAGCATGAGACATTATCAAAATTAACTATATGGGTTTCAACAACTGAGTTTGTAAAACCTACGGTGCTGATTAGCTTACTGTTAGCGTTGTTGTTAGCCTACTTGATATGAAGTGATCGCTGCAGATTTGAGCATTTTTAACGATTTGCTTGTTCCAGTCACTTCTTCTGATAGCTTGCAACCAAAGACGTCTTGTTCACCTTGAAAGGGGTGCGAGTCGAAGGAATTCTGTAGAACTTGCGCGATTTGTTGTTTTTATCAAAGCGATTGGTACAACCAACAGCACAAGACATGATTGTTGATCCCTTTCTGCAACGATGATGTGACTGATAAGGGGTCTATATCTCCAGACTGAGAAGGTTGGAGTAAAAACATGAACTTTAAATGGTTCTCCATGCCTTTATCTCCTCCCGTCTGGATTACTGTAACACACTCTTCACATGTTCTAACTAAAAGCACTTTACCGCCTTCAGTTGGTCCAGAACTCTGCAGCGAGGCTCCTAACTGGAGCAAACAGAAGAGCACACATCACTCCTGTTCTGACGTCTCTGCACTGGTTACCCGTTAACTTTAGAGTTCATTTAGAGTCCTGACTAGAACTTTCAGGGCTCTACATGGTCAAGCTCCTCCCAGTATTACTGACCTGTTAAAGTCTTATGATCCAACCCGAGCCCTCAGGTCCACCCACCAGAACCTTCTAGAAGATCCAAAGACCAGATATAAAAGTGGAGGTGATCGCTCCTTCCAGACTCTGGAACGATCTTCCTTTATCCGTACGCAGCGTTGACAGTCTGGACACTTTTATTTAAAGCTGCTTTAACTTTTGTGTTTTCTGTTTTTAATTCTCATCTTTTTATGATGATTTTATGATGTTATTTGTTAAATGATAAAGGATCCGCACTCGCATAGCACCTCTCAGAGTAAGGACTCCGAAGCGCTTTACACTACAGCGTATCATTCATCCATTCACACACTGGTGGTGATGAGCTACGATGTAGCCACAGCTGCCCTGGGGCACGCTGACAGAGGCGAGGCTGCCGACCACCACCAGCAGGCAAGGGGGGGTAAAGTGTCTTGCCCAAGGACACAACAGCAGAATTCTCTGTTCGGAGCCGGGATGGAACCTGCAACCTTCCCGTTACTGGACAACCCGCTCTACCTCCTGAGCTGCTGCCCAATGATTGTTCTGTGATAAGTTCTATGTAGATGATCTTCACTTCCACCGTCGTGTTTCTGTTTCATCCTGAATAATGATCATCAGCATATTTGGTGAAAGTGGTTAATCCAACACATGCTAATGATTCTAATCCGCTTTGTGCACACGTCCCTAGAGCTGGTGCTGTTTAGGAACAAAACGTGGTCACACTAAGTGTTGATCTGGTTTGGGCTTCCTTCTGGTCCTTTCTTTGACACCTGCCTAAAACCTTTGCACAGCACTGCATGTGGTAAGGTGCGCGTGGACTAGGAAACAGAAGACTGGTGCTTTTCCACGTTTCTGTGATGGCCGTGCAGCATCCATAGTGATCCAGGGCTGCATTCCTCATTTGTTCCTAGAACGTTCTGTCCATTGTGATCTGAGTTCTCATGACCGACAACATAGACTCCAGTGTTTTCTCTAAGACCACGATGCCGTTCAGCATGAGGAGTCCAGATCAGGATGGTTGATTACATCACAACAAAACCGACGCCTAGCATCTGTGTTTCCAGGCTAATGCTATGATTTTTCCTGTTTTTCCTCTTAGGCGGCTCGAGTTTGGATCCCTGATGCAGAGGATGTGTGGAAGTCTGCAGAGCTCATAAAGGACTACAAAAATGGTGATGCTTCCCTGCAGCTCCTGCTGGAGGATGGAACGGTGAGAACATCCAGACGTTTCCGTGGTTTAGTGGCTTCTGCTGTGTCTCCTAAGAGGTTAAACTCCGACACACAGAGCAGTTTTAAATTCTCCCCTCTAGCAGTCACAGCATGGTTAGGGTCACGGTGGCAGAACCAATCAGCTTATCAGAGCCTTCTCAAAGAGGTTCTGTTGGTCTGGGTCTCCTTGGGTTATTACTGGGCGTATGGAGCTTAAGAAGCCAGATGTGCAGACGCTGCAGGAACCGTAGCTCATCTTAAAACAGTAAAACTCAGACTGGGCGCCTCCTCGGTCTCGGTGAAGTCCTGACGCCACATAGCAGCGGGAAACATCTGGATAAATCTGAAACATGTTGGCTGGCTGACAACACAAAGATGAACGTGTTATTTAGCATCAGCTGTCAGTTATCGGGAACAGTTCAAGTTACCATGGCAACTACCCTTCCCCTTTTCCCTGATATGATATAATCCATCCATCCATCCATCCATCCATCTTCATCCGCTTATCCAGAGCCGGGTCGCGGGGGCAGTAGCCTAAGGCGAGAGCCCCAGACTTCCCTCTCCCCAGCCACTTGGGCCAGCTCCTCCGGGGGAATCCCAAGGCATTCCCTGGCCACGTGAGAGACATAGTCCCTCCACCGTGTCCTGGGTCTACCTTTAGGCCTCCTCCCGGTTGGACGTGCCCGGAAAACCTCACCAGGGAGGCATCCTGACCAGATGCCCGAGCCACCTCAACTGGCACCTCTCAATGTGGAGGAGCAGCGGGTCTACTCCGAGCCCCTCCCAGATGACCGAGCTTCTCACCCTATCTCTAAGGGAGAGCCCAGCCACTCTTCGGAGAAAACTCATTTCGGCCGCTTGTATCCGTGATCTCGTTCTTTCAACGATGGAGGCACAGAACAGGGTCCATTCAGACTCGGTGTCCCCCGCCTCCCCCGGAACATTTTGGAAGTTCTGTCGGAGGTGGGAATTGAAGCTCCTTCTGACAGGAGACTCTGCCAGACGTTCCCAGCAGACCCTCGCGATACGTTTGGGCCTGCCTGGTCTGACCGGCATCCTCCCCCACCATCTGAGCCAACTCACCACCAGGTAGTGGTCAGCTGACAGCTCCGCCCCTCTCTTCACCCGAGTGTCCAAGACATGCGGCCGCAGGTCAGATGAAACAACAACAGAGTCGATCATCGAGCTGCGGCCTAAGGTATCCTGGTGCAAGGAGCACATGTGGACACCTTTATGTCTGAACATGGTGTTCATTATGGACAATCCATGACTGGCACAGAAGTCCAATAACAAAACACTCGAATTCAGATCAGGGGGGGGGCGTTCCTCCCAACCACACCTCTCCAGGTCTCACTGTCGGTGCCCACGTGAGTGTTAAAGTCCCCCAGCAGAACGAGGGAGTCACCGGAAGGAGCACCCTCCAGCACCCCCTCCAAGGTCTCCAAAAAGGGTGGGTAGTCTGAACTGTAGTTTGGTGCATAAGCACAGACCACAGTCAGAACCCGTCCCCCCACCTGTAGGCGGAGGGAGGCTACCCTCTCACTCACCGGGGTGAACCCCAACCTACAGGCACCAAGATGGGGGCAACTAGTATGCCCACCCCTGCTCGGCGCCTCTCAGTGGGAGCAACTCCAGAGTGGTAGAAAGTCCAACCCCTCTCAAGGAAACTGGTTCCAGAGCCAGAGCCATGCGTTGAGGTGAGCCCGACTATATCTAGTCGGAACTTCTCAACCTCACACACCAACTCAGGCTCCTCCCCCACCAGAGAGGTGAGATTCCATGTGCCAAAAGCCAGCTTCTGTAGCCGAGGATCAGACCGCCAAGGCCCCCGCCCTCGACTACCACCCGTCACACACTGCACCCGACCCCTTTGGCCCCTCCCACGAGTGGTGAGCCCATGGGAAAGGATATCATATAATTATATATTTTATATTAAGATTCCTGAATATTGTTGAAGGTTAAATAAATCGTCTGCTCTGTGACACACACACACACACACACGCACACACACACACACACACACCACACACACACACACACACACACCACACACACGCACACACACACACACACACACCACACACACACACACACACACACACACACACACACACACACGCATGCATGCATGCACACACACACACACACACCACACACACCACACACACACACACACACACACACCACACACACACACACGCATGCATGCATGCACACACACACACACACACACACCACACACACACACACGCATGCATGCATGCACACACACGCACACACACGCAGACACACACACACACCACACACACACACACGCATGCATGCATGCACACACACACACACACACACACACACCACACACACACACACGCATGCATGCATGCACACACACACACACACACGCACACCACACACACACACACGCACACACACGCAGACACACACCCTGTCTGAATGCGTTTAGGTACCTGGGAGAACCACAGCATCCAGGTCTGAGTTAGAGGGAAGCGTCTGAGGAGTGGAGAATAAAGAGTGTTTAATAAAAATGGAGCTGCTGGACTAAGCAGCCATTTTAGAGGCTGGGGAGGCAGAAAAAGAAATGTCCCTCCCTCCTTATTGTATTGTGTGGTGATACACCTGTGATGTACCTGAGGATGCCACTAGGATGTGGACGTGATTACTGACTGTCACCCTCCTGACGGAGTCTTGATGCTGCTTTATTGATGTTTTCCTTCTCTCAGAACCTCGAGCTCAAGCTGGACCCCAAAACTAACAACCTGCCTTACCTGCGAAATCCTGACATCCTGGTAGGAGAGAATGACCTCACAGCTCTCAGCTACCTCCATGAGCCGGCCGTGCTCCACAACCTCAAAGTCCGCTTCACTGACTCAAAGCTCATCTACACCTACTGCGGTAGCAGGCTTCCTGATAACTCTTATCCATCGCTGTTGATGTAAACACAGGTAATGAACATGTTTCTGTCTCAGGAATCGTTCTTGTGGCCATCAACCCGTACGAGTCTCTGCCCATCTACGGCTCAGACATCATCAATGCCTACAGCGGCCAGAACATGGGAGACATGGACCCGCACATCTTCGCCGTGGCAGAGGAGGCTTACAAGCAGATGGCCCGGTGCGTTTGTGTGTGCACGTTCCCAACACTGGTTACTAAAGCATGGCGTCCACGTCAAACACATGGTGAAGTCCTCACATTGGAACGGGTCTAAAGTTTATATTTTCATTTAAAAATAAGAAGATATTTCAAAATAAAAGATGCTATTACTGTTCCAACTAGGATCTCCTAGCTCACCCGTCTAATAACAGCACCTCTTGCTGGAAACCGGAAGTGACGTCGCTCAACGAAAATGTTCCCGACTGCTCAGACAAAACAATACTTTAAGCAGCAGCATGACGCTCCAGATTCTGAAAACAAATGAACATTTATCTCAAGTACTGAAGGTGTGCAGCCGTATAGTTCGGACCCAGCAGCGAGAGTTGGTGGGAACAGCCTAAACAGGGATCATTAATTTAAATGGAGAAAGACGAGCTGCTGAAGCGTGGGAACTTAAATGCACACACACACACTTGGAAACGCTAACTGGTAAGAGCTTTTTTATTTAGATATATTTCAACAGACATTTGTCCCCTGACATATTACATTAAACACGTTTCTACAAAAATAAGTTTGGTTCTCTAATTTATGAGTTTCTAAGGTAATTAAATCCTATTTGCAGCTATTTTCCGACTCCCCACTACACCGCTATGTTGGCTTCCTGTTTACCAAATGCGAGCACGGCATTGGTCTAAAACGATCAAGTGAGAGCCGCTTTTCTACTGATGCTCAAAAGAAAGTAGTCCCACATTCAAACAGCGATGGGGATAAGAAGTGGGTCTACTTTAGGTAGGAAGAAAGTTCACTTTTGAAATCTGTACAAATTTACTATTTTACTGAAACAAACAGCTAATCGCCACAAGAGGTGGGAACGAGAAGATACGAAAACGACGCGTGGAGGCCACGTTTAGCACTGTAGTGTAACCTCTCTGCCGCCATATTGGATGGGTCTCTCACTCTCCAAAACCTAAACGGAGTTGACGCTGAGTGAGCAACTAAGCCTGTTTTTGTGCGGTCTACGGTTCAAACAGCCGGCGTGCTGTTAAAAACAGATTATATGGGATTACTGTTGACCTTTCTAGCCCAATGAATGCACTGGGGGGGGGCGACTGGTGACCCATCCAACATGGTGGCCTGCAGTTACACCAGCGCCGATAAAAAGCCCCAGCCCATGTTTCCTCTACGTTTATATGATCTGATCTCTGTGCTTCTCCTATTCTCTTTCTGTTGTGGGAATCGATGAACACGGCGTCCAGAAAACAGGAGTTTGTACAACCCCAACACACACACACACACACACACATTAACGATCAGTAGTTGAATCAGTGTTACCTCAGCAACTAAAAATAACCTGACTCAAGCACGTCTACCTCTGTTTTCCTTGAGGGACGTAACTCACGTGACTCCAAACCCGCACATGTTTTAGGGAAGCCTGCCCCCTTCCCTGGATTTAGTGTTTTTAAACACCTGCTAGTTACTTGAAACCCTGGAAGGATAGCCAAAGTAACCTTTAGACCTTAGATGATGCTTTTCTACCACCTTAAAGAACATTAAAGATGCACATGTCTGAGCAGAACCTCCCTGAACCGTCTACAGGTGGTTCAGAACGCCTGTGCTCGGCTTCTGACCAAGTCCTCCAAACACACCCACATCACCCCGCTTCTCCTCCAGCTTCACTGGCTGCCAGTCACCTTCAGGGTTCATTTCAAGATCCTGGTTAAGTGATTGCGTATTTTGTGTGTATTTTGCATATCCGTATTGTTTCCTCCCTTTGATGAA